AAAACCTTGTCACCCACAATATTGTTTCCGGTTATAATTCTACCTTCTATCACATGGGGCAGTAACTGAGTAACAATTAGCCTAATACCATTACATAAACCTTCAGCAACATCAATGTTACGGAGACACATAATAGGAGCACCCACCTTTAGCTTCAAACAATGTCTAGGCAGTCCAACCATTTTAACACTGTTCAAAAACTCTACAGGATATATTACAGTTTCTTCTATGTCAACATCGGATGGGATAATACTTTTGTTTCGTCTGTTTCCATCTTTAGTCTAATCTAATTTTTATTTTTAAATATTGTTTGGCCTTTGATTTATCTCATAAGTCGAGTCGTTTTTAATGTATTTTATTGCTTATTATTGGGCCAAACCGAGCTGTCAATGACTATGTTCAGCCTGATCTCTCTGATCCAGTTTGTTCTTGATTTTATTTGATATATATTTGTTTTAGGGGTTATTTAATATATATTTTATTTATATCGGTAGATTGTTTTTTCTTTATGCTATTATAGTTGATGATTAAAATCTATGGTACGTGGTTTATAGGTGGGAATTGATAGCCGGAAGGATACCGGGAAGGACGCCGGAAGAGATAGAGAGATATTGGCTTATGACAAACGGTGTCGTTTTCGCCAACAGACGAAGAGATTTTGTTAGGAGATGATTTCTTTAATGCATTTTCCTCTCCTTTACAAGACAAGGAAAAAATGAGTAGTAGTTGTACTTTGAATTACATTTTTGGAATGTATAATTATCTACATATATATATATATAAAATTTGCTTAGGAGCTTCAATTTCTTATTATCAAATATGCGACGTTTGTCGCAATGATAAGTCTTCAGTGAGGATCCACACTTTTTAAATGGGATTGAACAAAAATTAAACTGACTAGTACAACAAACAAGAAAAACAAGCTTTCTGCATGGAATGACACTTTCATTCACAACCTGCCATGAGCATAACGAGATGAAAAATTCTAATATGACCCCCTAAAATACTATAGTTAAGAAGAATATGATCCTAAAATACTGTAACTAATATGATAACATAGAACAATCATCCCCTATATATTAATTTGGGAGCATTACAACATTTAAGTGTAATCACATGTCATCACTAGAATGATTTTGAGAATCTTTAGAAAAAATAGATTGATCCATCAAAATATAAATTATACTTTCTATTAAATTAACTATTAAATTGATTTCTAATGCATAAAGAATAATCTTAATTATTTCCTTAAATAAAATCTACGAATTATCCAATATGATTAACATATATATGATCATTAATAATTTTGAATAATAAAGATTTGATAATAATTTTTGTATCCTCCAGCTTTTTTGTTTAATTTATATTATTAAAAAAAATTAGACAATCACAATAACCATATAATAAAAATCTATATTTTTATGTTATATTTTGAAATTTTTAAAACGATTATAAATTACTAAAATTGTTCAAAGTTTTATAATAAAATTTTTGTGAACAATGGTTTTACTTTTTTTTATTATAGAAAGATAAATAATCATAAAATCATATGGATATGAAGTATCATTTAATATATTCAGATCATATATATATTTATAATATGGTTTAAGTATGTATATATATATATATATATATATATATGTTAATTCAAGTTTTCATTGAAAAGGTATTGTGATCTGAATATTTTAATTTGAAATTTTTACTGAATTTTTTAAAAAAATTATAAATAATTAAAACTATAAAAAATGATTTTTCTTATGTATTGTTTCAGCTCAAACGTTTAATTAATTAGGCCAAAAAAGTTTTATCAACACTTGAACCCAGTACGCAACATCATTATAATATAGATCCACAATGTATAACACTTTTGAACTTATGAGACGATGTAATTGTTTAAACAAAATAAAGTTAATATGCATAAATTGTTAGTAATTAAAATTTACCCCGCGCATATCAACTAGTTTGGTAATTATTTAAAGTCGTTTGAATATCAAGACCGACTATGCTTTCATTGAATCAACCTTTAAATTATGGGCCAGTTTGGACCACTACTCTGGGTGAAAGACGAAACCCATCACGCTCGGTCGGAAATGAGGCCCATTGTTCAGTTAATTATTTATGATTAATAATAAAGAGAAAAAGTTTTGTCACAAATATATCATTAAAAATAAAAATAACTAATAGAAATTTAAATATTTTATTTAAAAGAAGTAAATATACACTTATACTCCTAAGGATTAATTAATCTAGACATTAGGGTTTAGAGTTAAGAGGTGAGGTTTAGGGTTTAAGGTTGGGGTTTAGGGTTTAGAGTTGGAAAGTAAGGTTTTGAGGATAAGATTTTAAATTCTTAAAAAGAATTGTTTTTACATTTTTCAAAATAAAAATAATATTTTGTTCATTTCAGTTTTTGAATTCTATTTTGACAAAAACCTCTTTTTTTTTAATGCTGATTGTATTCAATAACGAAGAGTTTAACAAATGAACCCCTAAGACACAAACACCTCACAAACAGAGGACTGTGGAAAACAAGAAACATAGTAAAGAAGTAAAGATTGTAAAAGAACACCATTGGGTGCCATATTGAATCGCAGTGAACTGAAGAAGCGAAAGATAACTGCATGGTGAATATAATATCCACATTGCCACATCCATTTCACTATACGCCATCATTGGATGCCTCTGCTCGGATAGTAAGGTCAAGCCATTGAAGACCACCTGTCGCAAAATACGCTTGATAATGGTGATAAAATGATCAATTTGAGAGAATTTCCCCTAATAATAATTAGGTATTTTGCCCGCGGATATAATTTTCCTATAAATAGTTATCAATTTATATTTTATTAAATCCAAAACAACATAATAAGTTATACTTTATGTTTAAAAAATTAATTATAAACGACAACATTAGTGTTACAAAAAAAACGACAATATTCACATAGCAGAATATTTTGTTTAAAAAAATTATGCAAATGTTTTGCTTGATTTTAACTATGATTTTTAATATTAATTTTTTGTTTCTATAATAGAAAAATATATTTTAAGACAACAATATAATACATAAAAAGTATCATATTTACTAAAAATATAATACTATTGATATAAATTTATATTTCATATATAATAAATTATATATGAAATTATTAAAGTATGACAAATAATCATTATTACCTAAAGTTATGGAGAAGTTACAAATCAGTAAATTTACTTAAATTTATAATAGGAAACATATTTTCAAGATAACAATCTAGTACATAAGAATTACCTTATTGTCTAAAAATATAATATTATCAATAGAAATTCATTTTTATTATATAATTAGGTATGAACCCGTGCATTGCACGAGTTTCAGTTGATGTGTTAATTTCATGAAAAACATAAAAATGAGAAGAAAAAAAATTTGCAATCGTTGGATTTTTGCATATATTGCGTGAAGCTTATTTTAGGAATAAAAATTGTTTTCCCACATAAGTTTTGGTTAGTATTTATGTTTCAGTAATATTTTTTTTATGGACTATGTTTCAGTAATGATAGTGTATAAACAATTATTAGCAATTTTGAATTTATGGGTAGAGAAAAAAATCCAAAACCAAAACTTTAAATTGAATCTAACCGTGGAAAAATATGAATTAGAATAAAATACAATAAATTAGAAGTTTGAATCAAATCAACCAAATCAGTGACAATATATGCACTTTATAGAATTTCTTTATCTTAAAAGAACATGTAGTGAATAAAATTACATCTCTATATTTAGAGACAAAATAACCTTATTCTATATTTCTATAAAAATGAAAACTCTATTACAAAATTATACAATGAAGCAAATCTACTTTTATAATACAATTTCACTATTTCAAAAGAAAATATACTAATGAATCTATAGGTGAATTGGAAATTATCTTATTTGTTTAACTAAGGGAAAACATTGGATCAACATTTTTATCATGTAATCTATAGCTAATGAAACTCTTGATACATTATCATTTCAATACTATTTTAATTCTTGTAGTCAAAAACATGTATGTTGTGAAGACCATGTTTTTGAATCTTTATTTTCTAAATAACTATTTATGAATAGAACTTACTAACTAAAGTTTTACGGCGACCAAAGCTATGATAAATAATAAATTGTATTAGTGTATGTTGTAATAGAGCTGAAATCACAATCATTAAGAAGTTATTGTAACTTCATTTCTAATATACGAATTTCAATATAGATATATATTGGATTCTCATTTTTCTTTATAATCTTTTCACTTTTGATTCATATTTATAGTAATAACATTTTCAAAAAAAAAAAGAAATATGTATCTAACTTAAATTAGATACAATTTTAAGATTAATAATATAATGTATTTTCCTTATTATCTATTATTTTCACTTTTGATTCATATTTCTAGTAATAACATTTAAAAAAAAGAAATATGTATCTAACTTAAATTAGATACAATTTTAAGATTAATAATATAATGTATTTTCCTTATTATCTATTATTTTCACTTTTGATTCATATTTCTAGTAATAACATTAAAAAAAAAAAGAAATATGTATCTAACCTAAGTTATAATTTTTTGCATAATGATAAAGCATATTTTTAATAATATTTAGCATCTTATTTACTTCTTTTAATCACTTTAGATTGCATTTAGTGGTCTACATTTGCATATATATGTTCATTTGTGTGCATTAGGGTGTGGACACAATTGGAATGTTTGGAGTCAATTTGATAGGATATTTTGCAATGAGAAACCTTTGGGGCAGAAACAAAAGATTACAAGAATGCAGGGACCAAGGTTTCAATTTGGGAATGTTCGCTTGGGTTAGATTTCGCAATCGAAAGTTATGGGGATTAATTCGGAGGTCATTTTGTACATTACAAAGGTATTGGGGCCTTAGTGAAAAGACCCAAAATCTGAGGACCTGTTTTGAAAATAAACGAAACTTCACCATGGGAGAGCACAAGCTTCACGATCTCGTTGACGGCGAGGCTGATTCTAACCACGGAGAAGCTCGATGTTAGATTCGGGTTTATTATGGGCTTCCAACTTAAAACCAATTGGTGATTAGTGGATTGGCCCTAACCCTTTATATAGTAGTAGATTAATTCTTATATTTCCGATGTGGGATGTTTCTCATCAATACCCTCCCTCACGCTCAGACATCTCTAGGTCTGAAGCGTGGACAATGTGGGAATAACATCCACAGAGGGTCCAACATCGGTATAGTAGTAGTAACTGTAGTAAATTAGGTCAAAGGATCTTATCGCTCTGATACCATGTTAGATTCGGGTTTATTATGGGCTTCCAACTTAAAACCAATTGGTAATAAGTGGATTGGCCTTAACCCTTTATATAGTAGTAGATTAATTCTTATATTTCCGATGTGGGATGTTTCTCATCAATACTCGACGACTCCGGAGCTTAAGAACATGCTGTCATGGCTCGAGCTGAGGTCATGGCGAGTGAGGATTGCGACGTTTCGAGCTCTGAGGCAGAGGTGAATCGTGAAGAGATGGAGCTCTTACGGCTGTGGAAAGCGGCGGCGATGGAGGTCGCGAATCTGGAAGCGCCTGAGATGGCCACGGCCGGTCAGATAAACGGAGGAGGTAAAGATGACGGTTTAGCTATGGAGATGTGCCGGGTTCTGTTGATGGAGAAGCTTGGACCCGTGCTCCAATGGTGATGTGAAGGGTCGCAGATCGAGCTTAGCTAAGACGAAGAAGAAGAGCTCAAGGTCGAGTAAAGGGAGCCGCGACGAGGTTGGACACCATCTTAGACCTCAGGAAGTTGATTC